GAAGGCCTGGTGTTCTCCCCCCGCTCCTGCTCCATGTGGATGCAGGATGTGACCGTCCGAAGACAGAGAAAGAATCCTTTAAACCGAATTTCAGAGAAGTCCTTGGAGCCTGTCACGTGGTTGTGGTACAAGCTCAGAATGGACTCCTACATGGAGTGGAGGTTCCACGTGTAACCTTATAAACGTTTTACTGTTTTTAAAATAATAAAATAAAATCATATTGTAAAAACTGCGTTTATGGTGGAAATAATTGTGGTCCACCAGAGCGCGCAGCCAGTGGATGTGTCGCCCACTTTTATTTTCACCTACAGCTGATTTCAAAGCCGATCAAACCGCCATAAAATGCAAAAACAGACCCAGCATATATCCCCGTGTTAGTAACGAAAGGTATGTCTGGGTGAAACTCGTTCGTTTGAAGAAATGAAACTAACTTAACAGTGACAGCAGCCGATGTTAAGTGCGGCGTAACAGGGTTAATGGAGAAATCTGCAGGGTGTTAATCTTGGCTCATGAGCTGGTTTCATGTGTATTTTTTACATGGATTTGGATTCCCAAACAACGAGTGCAGATCACCTCTGGCTGCGTTGTGCGTCCTGACGCGCACCAACGCCGACCATCTTCATATCTATCTATAGCCACACACTGAGGACTAGTTTATTTATCTTATTTAAAAATACTATACATGATACATTATTCAGATGGAATTCCAGCAGATCGATTGTACATTTAATGGTTAATTTTAAGTTGGTGTGGTCATTAAAATACATGTGCGTACCTGATCTCGTGCTTCCCAAAACTATGCGCTTGTCAGGAAAACTGCTAAAGTACCTCAGAATGTGATAAGCGGTTGTCTGAGCAGGTGTTATGCTTAGGGGCAACACAAGCACCAAAATTGCACTGCGCTGTCTAATTAGCATACAAACGGTCTCAGCTGCACCTCTCCTCCCACCTCGGTGTAAGCACATTCACTCATGGCAGGAAAATACCAAACACGCCAATGCGCGCAACAGAAAGTAAACATCCACCCGATGAAAACTGCATCCGACTGATGCGACGCAGAAATTGCGCTGGCAGGAAAATAGAGGCCTCTGTGTTGAGACACAACATGACATTAAACAGCTGTGAATCCAATTCAAGCTCTGTTCATCAGTGAACACGTGCAGTTAGATTCTGGCTTTTGGTGCAAATGACATCTAAATGAAAAACTGTTTCATATCCCTCAGACTGACTGTCTGCCTCTCTTATTTACTGTAATAATGAATCATTTCATTATTAAAAACAAATAGTTTAAAGCAAATATGTGAACTGTGTTCACTGTTATTCATTATATGAAACCACCTCATTGATTCAGACTGATATTTTGCTTGTTAACTAACTGATTTCTTTTTGTACTTTTTTGTACTTACCAAGGGATGTATTCATCCTGTCTGTCCACCTCATGTTCAGTAAAAACTGAAGCTGCTGTTTGGCATAACAATAAAATAAATACATTTATGGGACTTGTCTACAAATTGCCTTACAGCATCTTGTGTAGCTACATCATTCTCATCCACTCTTGTCACCATTTTTACTGATGTAGCTAAGTGGCTAGCTAGGTAATAGGCCATCCCCATTCACTGACTCACTCACAAAGCTCTGTTTAGCCAGTTGAGGGCAACAGGGGTGGATGAGTGTAACAAGCAAACCTGTGTGAATTGCTGAACGAATCAGAGATGTGGGTAGTGTTGCCTACTGAGTAAACAGAGTACTGTACATTTAGACTGAGTGCACAGCACAAAACCCTCCCACAACCAACTTCCAATCAGTAACCACCATGAGCTGTAAAATAATGCATAAAGGCCAATAAACGTGGGAATACTTCCTGTCTCCAACCATCCTGTCCATATGACACAAACACCCTGCATCAGTCTCAGTGGTTCCATGTGCCTCTGCTGTTTGGAAGGCTTTGCTTCTCCTCTCACTCCCTCGCTCCTTCTTTCTCCTTGTGTTGATGTTGTTGGCTGACTCAAAGAGTTACTGCCTGTTACATAACCACACACACACGCATTGGTTTTAATGTAGTTATGAGGATGCACATTGACATAATGCATTCCCTAGCCCCTTACCTTAACAATAACTTAACACTAACCCTAAGCTGTGAGAACCAACCAAAATGTCCTCACAGTGATTGTTTCAAACTAAAATGAGTGTTCATACCATAGAGGGACATAGAAGACACGGAAAGTCATGTCTAACTACAGCTGTAAGTACACTCATTAACAAAATGCATTCCCAACCCCTTTCCCCAACCTTAACCTAATTCCTAATGTCTCAACCCTTAAACATGAAATGCTTAAAATGTCCTCACAATAATGGCATCCAAAAATTTTAAATAAATAAATAAATAAAAAGGTCCACGTAATGTCATAGAGACGTGTACACACACACACTGAGTGAAAGTTTTCAGCTGTCTTTGTTTGGTGTTTGGGATTGATGTTGCTATGGCGACACTGGCTGGAGGTAGAAAACAAAAGAGCAATCTTGACAGAAGACTATGAAGCACATCTGTAAACATTCACAAATAGCATCTATTATTTATTTGACCTATCAGAGACTTTGTCGTGTTGTTCGTGTGACTGACCACTTTTTATTTACCACCTTTCATCTCAGTGCACGACAAGTGACATTAATAAACTGAAGTCATTCATTCATTCGTTCAGCCATATGAATGAATGAGTGACTGAGGAAGGAACAGTCATATCAAGGGAATGGATAAGCAAATGGATAAGCTTCTGCTGTGTGAAAATGAACTGATCGCACTGGTGAAAAGCTCAACTCAAGAGCTGTTGTGTTATGTAACCACATTTGTTTGTTCAGTGAAGACAACAACAACATTTTGCTTCAAAACCAAACAACAGACAAATCTGCCAAGACAAACATTCAGTGAAAATTTCAAAAAATAGTTTTCATAATCAACCTCGTCTTAAACCTGATGTAGGGCTGAAGGAGGGATGATGGAGGTGTGCAGGGATGGAGGGATGGATGGAGGAATGTATTATTGGCTCTGTAGTTGTTTGAGGGTGACTCAGATACTCCACCCACAGACACGCTGAGTCACCATGAACTGCCAAGTACTGTGTGCGTGCGTGTGTGTGCGATGTACCTGATTTAAATGTCAGTAAAGTGAGAATCTGACTCTTTCTCACAATTTTTTCTCTCCTTCTGATCAGATGATGTGACTCGGAGAGGTTACCGCAGTAACGCACACTTTGGTGATCTGAAATGTAGCGAAGCACAAACTCGTTGAACTTATTTCAGGCTTGTTGCTCATTTCCTCAGATCTATCAGTCAGTCTTTATTGTTTCCAAGGGGAAATTAGGTTTGTAGCCACAAAATTTATACATTCATTGATGAGGACAGAGGAAGAATGTCCCTGCAGACCAGTCGAAACACTAAATCCTATAACAGCCAACGCCTGAAGCATTTCCAGTCGTTAAGAAAAAGAAGATGTGTCTGTTTAGTTATTACAGCTGGAAATCAACAAGCACATGGAAGTAGCTCAAACTCTCTAAATAAAGGATCATGTGGACAAGCCAGAACAGCACCAGCCTTTCTAAGAACATTATAGATGTCAAATTGCTGAACACGGCTCATTCCTGTAATTTTACTGGGTACTTCTGACATGGGTCCACAAGCATTTTTTCAATGAAAATAAAGACATTACTGTGTTTTCCTAATAAACAAAATCAACTTGATTCAATTTTCTGTCAGTAACTTCCCCAGGGTTGTAATTGTCTACTTGGGTGATTTTGGAGCAACAAACAGTTGGTATTGAACAATGGGGTTTATCATTAGCAATTGTTCATACAAATTCTGCAGCTGAGTACAAAATAGAATGAAGATGGGATAAGCAGCAACTATGTAGAACCAGTGTAGAAAGTGGGCAGTGTCTCACTTTACAAAAAATAAATACCATTGTACTTGCACAAACACAACTATGCAGCCATGTGGATTTTAATCAAGATTAAGCAGATTTTCTGATAGAAGATGTGGCTTGATGATATTAAAAGCTTATGAAATAAAATCAATAAATCAAAGACAGGCATGAGCCCATGGGATCAAAAGATTTAGCAAAGAGAAGCAACCTGCATCCCTCCTCCGACCCTGTATGTAAACTACTGTATAAGGAATCTAAATTTATTTCTGTTTGTTGCAATACATCTGTCTTAACCTTTTCAAAGCACTTTGTAACTAATGAACGTAAGGGCAACAGATCTAAAACGGTTCAGTTCCTTACAGTATCTCCACAGAAGGTGTTGCGTGAGCAGCACGTTAGCAGAGCAGCACCCCGGGCGCTCCATGTGTGTCTCCACAGGAGGCATTCAAGCACCGAGTGTGGGTCACATTCTTGCATTTTGGAAGGGCTCAGAGCCCAGGACAGAGTCACTGTGGCGTCTCTCACAAAACACAGGAAAACAGACTTGAAGCATAAAAACTGTGTTGTATATGTTGTAGAAGCACAGGTGTTCCTTCAAATCACATGGAATGAATGACTGAAACGTCGTTCTTTGGACTAATTTATCCTGGTATAAGGAAAGTCTAACTCAGGATTAGTAGGTGGAGTAAAGTACAAATGCTGTTGGGACCTAACAAATGAACTCCAGGTTAGTTGGTATATTTCTCTTTATTGTGTTTTCCAAAAACTATATATCCTTTTTTATAATACTGTTATTTTTTAATTCATTATGATGGTGAAGTTTTATTTTATTATGGATAAGAGTGTCATGTATTTAAAATGTACCGAATACTGTTATTGTGTGTCATTTGATTGGTATCTGACCACTGGCTGTTGAGTTATCAGAACCCTTAAAATACACGCCTGTTAGAGATTGAGAGATGTGTGAGCCAGAGGAAGGTACAATGCAAAATGCTTTGCTTGCAGATTTGTAGTTATGTGCACAAATTAAAATATAAAGATGATTACTTATAGATATCCCTGGTGTGCACTGGAATCTTATATGTTTTTATGATGACTGACGTGCCTTTTGTGTAGACACCCTTAGCTGATCTTAGACACTGGAACATTTCTGTTACCATAACTTGAAACAAATTGAAAAAGTTAGAAAATACCCCTGAACTAATCAGCACATGACTTTAATTCCCCACAGGCCTGACATTTTCCTCACATTGTGTGTGTCAGTGTCAATGACCTAAGAAGACTGCATTCTTTACATTGAAACAGCTAATTTTGGAAACAAAAACACTGCTATCAGATCTTGAAGACCTTTAACTCATTCATAAGACATGAGTCTAAACCCCTTACAAGTTCTTTACTTCATGTGCAACTGACATTCTTATTCCCCGGCCAAATTGCCAACTTCAGGCTCCATAATTTCCTTATACTGTACTTCAGTGTTTTTTTTTTGTAATTGCCCTCACTGTAATTAAATAAGGACCTGCTTATTGTTGTAAAAAGGATCCAAATGTGGCTGAAAACCTACATAAAAAGTAAGTTAGTCTTTTTTATTTTAGGATATTTTTGTCACATAATGAACTTCCACTGCCAGACGTGTGCAAACTCTTTGAAGCTTCCACATGATGCTGTGGTCGCCTCCAGCCTATATTTGGCCATTGTTCATTTCTGTTTGTGTTTAATGCGGTTAGACTCTGAGGTTATGTAAAGCTTCTGTCTCGGTGAGGATCTAACAGAGGGCTCCAGAAAGGTACACTCCTTGGCCGTCACAGCTTGTCAGGCGCTGCCACGGTGTGACGCGATGACTCGTTTTGTAAGAAGTCAGGGTCCTCATCAGGAAGCTGCTTTAAACTCTCTGAGGGACAATATCAAATCCTTATCCGCAACAAATTAAAAATAGCAAATTTTTGACTTTTTGGTCCT